CAGGTGTGGGCAGCCATGGCCATCCTCTTCGCCGTGGTGGCCAGGGGCACCACCATCCTGGCCAAGCACGCCTGGTGTGGGGGCAACTTCCTGGAGGTGACAGAGCAGATCCTGGCCAAGATCCCCTCCGAGAACAACAAGCTGACCTACTCCCATGGGAAGTGAGTAACACCCCTCAGGGAGGGGGGGCAGGGGCTGAGGGGGGGGCCAGGGTGCAGCCACACACCCCTGGGGCTGTGTTTGGATCCCCCCGAGCAGCCTCCAGCCCAAGAACTGCTTTTTTTCCCCCAGAATTTTGCAGCACAACCAAGATTTGGATGTAGTTTGACCCAGGCAGCTGATAGAGAGTGGAGTTTGCTGTGTTCATGCCCCTCCCTGAGTGAGTGGGGGTATCACACTGGGGCAGTCGTTGGTGTTTGCCCCCTCCCAGAGCCTTTTGCTCACTTTTCCTCAGGCTTGGATGTCTGGAGGTCAAACTCTTCCCCCTGCTGGGGTCAATTCTGGCTCCTGGGTGCTCGAAGTCCCAGCAGCAGATGTTGCAGGCTCATCCTGAGCTGCCCCAGAGCCAGCCCGTGGGCAGGAGGGTTTCTCCCTGGGTCGGTGGGGGTGGGACTGGGGGTTAGATGTTGTGCTGCCTGGGCTGGGCTGAGCTGTCCCACGTTCTGAGATCGTCCAGTATCCAAGCAGGTTGGGAGGCCTGAGGATTCAAGAGGTAAGATGCAGGGTAGTCTTTCCACGTCCCTCCCTGCCCTGGGAGCACTCAAAGTCCCTGGGGAAGGAGGTTAGAGCTTGCTGAGGAAGCTGCAGAAGCACCAGTGGCCTTGGGATGCTGAATCTCTCTGCTGGAATCTTTTCCCCACTGGAATTTTAAGGGTACAGGGATTTCCTTTGGTTTCAACCTTGCCTTGAGTGCTGCTGGCCCAAGCACAGAGCTGAGGGAGTGGTGCTGCCCTGCTGCCTCCTCACCTGCTGGAGCATCAGATGGTGCTGAGGGGGCCACGTTCTGAAGAAGCTAAAGCCAGAGAGCTGAGCCAGAGCTGATCTCCTGCAGAGCAGCTGGGCTTGGCTCCCCCACTGCTCCCACCCTCCTGCCTGCCAGAGGATCAGTCGTGTGGCAGCTCCCAGTGACCTTTTGTTTCTTCCCCTCTCTGCAGCTACCTGTTCCACTACATCTGCCAGGACAGGATCATCTACCTCTGCATCACAGACGACGTGAGTGTCCTGCTGGCAGCTGTGCCACACGCAGGCCCCTGCCACCTCTGGGCTTTTTTTTGGGGGGGGTCTGTGGCAGAGAAAATCAGCAGTGGGTGCTAACCTGAGGAGCCTTTTTATCCCCCTCAGAGCTGCTGCTTGTGTTGCCATTCACCTCAGCTGCAGCCTTGCAGTCTAAGCCTGGAATTCAAGTGCTTTTGGATAGTTTTGAGGAGAAGTTTTGGGGCTTTGCCTCGTTTCTCTCTGGGCAGCCCCAGCACAGCAGAGTCTGGGTGTAGAGACCAGCCTTGAACTGGCCGTGGAACACGTGTAGTGCTCAGTTCTGGAAGTGCTGAAGGACAAACCCCTCCCTGCGTGGGGAAGGGCACAGAACTGGCACTGGGGATGCCCCAGCACAGCCTGGTGCCCGGGAGGCTGGGACTGAGGGCTGGCTGCTGCCCAGGCCCCGGGATGGGCGCTCCAGCCCCGCTCGGCATGCCCGTTCCAGCTGAGAGCTGCAGTCTCCCTGCCCCACGTGCCCTCTGCAGCTCCCTGCCCCCGGCACGACCCAGCTCTGGACGTGGGCTGCTCTCTTCTTCCCAGGATTTCGAGAGATCCAGAGCCTTCAGCTTCCTGAATGAGATCAAGAAGAGGTTCCAGACCACGTATGGCTCGCGGGCGCAGACCGCCCTTCCCTACGCCATGAACAGCGAGTTCTCCAGCGTCCTGGCTGCACAGCTGGTGGGTGGGAGCTCCAAAACC